TCCCTAATGTGACTGGAGTGGAAACTTCACTTTTTTTTACAAATCACTGGATGAGTTTCACATTGAAAACTTGGTTTCCAGTGTATACGGGGATGCTTCAGTTCCAACTGCAACTCCGAGACAGGGAATTTAGCTGTGTTCTTTTACAGTCATATGGGGGAAGCTAAAAGTGGGAAAAGTGAGGAAAACATCTGGGATGAAGTGTCGTATTGGTCATTTATAACAAGTACAACCCTTTTAGATTAAATCCAAGAGCATTTATCGGTATGTTTTTGTGATTTCTTGTGAATTTCCTGTGAATTTTGAAGTGAGACTATAAAATGGCTTTGCGGTGACTCTGTATTTAGAGCCAGGTTGTGTATACCCGCTCTCGTGCTGCCCTGAGGTAGTTTGTTTATAACCTAACTTTAGCTGTTTTGAATTCAACCTTCCAATTGCATAGCATTGGAATGATTTGAACAAGAGTTTAAATCGCTATTAAAAAAAACATCAAATACACATTTGGCCAAAGTAGTGTAACTGATCAGACCTTGAAAATGTCCGTCCAGAGTGAGACTCACTTCATCCTTGGTCCCCCATGAATCATGGCTATTCATTTGTTCTCAACAGTGGGTCTTTATATCTGTACATGATCATGCCACACTACCCGAGTATGAAGGACTGGACAGCAGCTTGTCAGTCTGGAGAACAAAACCTCTGCCCTTGCTGACAAACAAAACAAGCCTTTTCCTGTTAAATGTATTTTTAAAATGTATAATCATGGTTCTTTTGGAGTTTAAAGTGCGTGAATAACAATAAAAACCAAGAAGCGTTTTTTTAATGTTTTAACCTTCTTTAAGCAAAAACAAAATGTGGGTGTTGGATGATCCACAAGCATTCCTCACGCATTTTTATGGTGAAAGAAAACGGAGGTTTACAAACCAGGAAACACAGGAAACAACAAGACAGACGGAGTTTCACACCAGGGCAGCTGGAAGGGCTTTTACAACACTGTTCTACATTTCTCATTTTTCATTGTTTTAAAGATGATGGTCAGCATTTCCTAATATCAGCATACAAATAATTTGATGATGCAAACAAATTAGACGAAGAAGGAGATAATAGCTGTCTCTTTCTTAAGAGTTTTATTTTTATTGCAGTAGGTTTACGTAAGCTGACCTTGTTTGTCAGTGACCAGGTTTTCTGCGCGTTTGCATAGCCACATTTTACATGTCTTATATGACAGAAATGTGTGCGTGCGTGTACTTTTCACAGTTCATTTGCATGTGTTTGTGTATGTATGTATGTGTGCGTGGGGGGAGGAGGGGGCGGGGCATCTTTGACGCGCGGGGGGGTGAGGGAGGGGGGTGTACAAGCCTCTGAAAAGACTACTTCATTGTGTCCAGCGTGCACGTCGACTCACCTTTGATCCCCCATGTTGACCTTCTCCACAGGGCAAAGGTCACTGAAGCCAGGCCAGCCAGGCGCCACGTGTTTGATCCCAAGTCGCTTATAAGAGATAAGTTATCAAAATCATGATGCTTTCTTTTCTACCTGCTGTTGTTGCGTAATTGTCCATCACTAAATCTCTCGGAGGGACTTGTGAAACAATGAAAAGTCAAAAGTCAAGAGCTTCTGCTTTCCAACGCATTCTCTCTCTCAAAAAAGGAGAGAGGTTGCATCCTTGAGCCCTCCCCTCCTCTCACCCCCCCTTCCAATCCTTACGTGCTATTGATTTCCTCTGCGTGTGACAGACACGGAGCCCGGTGAGGAGAGAGGAGACATTTTCTAGTAAAACAGAGCAGCACCAGCGCACACATCTCCCCTACCTGCTGCTAGACAAGTGAACCAACTAATGACAACGACAAATATCCATCATTTGTGTGATGTGATGGGAGTGATTAGAGCTTGGATACCGAGAAAGAGGACTTGAACATTATGTATATAGCGATATGTCTCATGCGCATGGACATTTTGAGCATTTTCATCCGTCTGAGTTAAAAATAAGTCCACTTCTTCTGCCACTACGGGAGACAAAGAATGAACTGGGCTCGTGAATAAATCATTTTGGCTTCGATTGAGGAGAAACAGTTTCGGGAATTGTGCACAGACGACACAAGAGCGAGCAGAGCCTCCTGCCGAGTCATAAACGACGGCCGGCTGATAACCTCAAACAAGGGCGGGCAGCCGAGGCTCTGACCTTTGAGCTCTTTTCTGTTGGTTGCTTTTCATATTGACCGAATACAAATAAGAGCTTTTTTTTTTTTACTCTTTAACTTATTTCAGTGTCAACTTGTCGCGATACATGCCCTCCTTTAGCTGTGAGGAGAAATGCAACGGGGGAGGTTTCACAAGCAGCTACGTAAGGGCTCACATTGTCCTTTATACTGACACAGCTGTCGTATATCATCCAAAGAACATAAAACACCTTGGATCAACTGATTAAGATACTGTTAAGTATCGTCTGTGTAGCCAAACCCGGATATTAGTCAGTACCTGACCTGTTGTTGTTCTCCAAAAAGTAAAAAAGAGTATGTAAAAACACTGTTGGACCAGGTGACATGTTCCTTTATGCAGTAACAATGGTGATGGTTTTTCCATTTTAAAAGAATTGGGGCATTCTTGGCCTTTATTTGAGCGATCAAAGTGTAGAAATGGGGGAGGGAGACCAAGGATTATAACAAACATCTCATGAGCTCATGAGCTGTAATCACTCGGGTAACAAGGTGCAAAACTTTATTTTAGGTCAATCCCACAGTGCGTAAACACTCAATAGAGCATCAAGCTACATTGATCGGCCAATTGAAAAAGTGCAACAACTCCTGTTTTCTCTCCACTATTCAAAGTCCTTAAAAACAACGAGTCTATAAATACAAAATAATATGCTTGAGTTAAGAACTGTATGACTTAAGTGTAAAACACTGTCCACTGCTCTGCATGTACTCACTATATCAATCCTTTTTAACAGAGAAAGACACACCGTTTATTGTACGGTACACTGAAATAATACGCTCAAACAACAGCGCATGAAAAGGATGTATACCATAAAAAGAAAAAAGACATTTGAGATGCCCTGTGGGCAAACCGGAGAATTGGAGCCTGCTCTGTCTGTGTGTGTGTGTGTGTGTCATGCAGTTGTTATGATGACACTACACAATGCCAGTGGACGATACAATAAAGACTTTGATAAAGCAAGCAAGTTCGCTCCTTTCTGTATCTGCGTGATTCATGCGCGGCCTGAATGATAGTAACAGAGGTGGCCATGGAAACGGGCCGGCCAATGAAAGAGCGGGATATGGGCGTGGCCACCGAGTCCCGCTCACTTCCTTCTGCCTGGTTAATTAATAACCTTCCCAGGGAGGGAGGGGCGAGAAAGAGCTCACTAGAACTATACACAGATTAAACGGTCACGTGGTGGAGGAAGCTGTGCATGTGGCGCATGTCATTGGCTAACGAGCGTAACCTCGTCAGTGTGTCCGTGAAATGTGAGCTGAGGGCAGTGACGTTGAGTCATTTCATTTCCGGTTGTGTAGTTTGACTATTTCATTTATTTCTGCATTAGTCTAAATGCAAATGATTGATTTGATGAGATTAGCGTCATGATTTAGAGTCCGATTTATCTGAACGTTGAAAGTCACTGATTGCACAATTGCTGTTACTGATTTGAACGAGGTGCGCTTGTGAACACCGATCGACCGAACTTGTGCTACGAATAGTGGAAAAAGTCCTCAAAAAAAACTCACTGACAGCAATTCACAAAAATAAGTGAAGTGACAGACAAGATAAACTATTGGACTTATCAGTCTTTCTTTTGAGTTCAAATCTGCAGGGAGTCTGTCTTTATGTCTCACATTCACAGTTAGTGAGGATAGATGAGAGGAGAGCGGACAGAATGATTCATTTAAAGGATTTGTTGTTTCATGTCTTAGCACTTGTTTCATGTCTCAATATAGGGACTATGTGATGTGCTGGATTCAATTGTGTTCCTTTTTTAAGCGAGCAGCCAAACGCATAAATGCTGGACTACATAAAGATATTGCATTTTTAATAAGGTCAACCACTAAAAGTGTTAACAACACCAAATATATTTTCTGTTAAACGGGTTGCTCCCTGAAAAAGTCCCAGAATTATTCATTAATGTTTGGTAATTTGGTGTAGAACACGCAATGAATATACACATTATAAAGATTATAAATGATAAAGGTGTATCCTGGAATAAAATGGGGGAAAACTCACAAAGAAAGGCTAAATGGAGCCACGCAAAAGCCCTGCTGCTTAGTCTCTGGCAGACATTGTGAAATGAAAGCTACGCTTAAAATGTAAACATACACACATATATGGAAATACAGCTTCTCTCTCCAACACGGCAAGCCTCGTAGAGTCTCCCACATTAGGGCTCCTCTTTAAGGAATATAAAGTACTTTCCGAAATATAAGACAAATATCGAGATATTTGAGCCATATTTGTTGGAAGTCCAAAATTGCTCATCAGCATAATGAGTTTGTTACTTAATGTCTTATGTTGCAATTAACCTGTGGTCTGAAGGACCAAAAGGACTGCTGATTGTGTGTATGTGCCAATCTGTCCAGCTGATTAAAGTGGCATTGCTTTTACACAAATCTTTAATCAAGAGCTGGATGAAGCACATTGTGATATGAATATATTTACATAAATGTTCAGAACCTTAATTGATCATCACATATAAAAATGAATGTGTATTAAATTGAATATACCCTATCAATTTTAGAGATTTACATGACACAATTCTGATATGCTGATTTCTATATCTGCAAATGTGCATTTTGTCTGGTTCAACCTCTTAAATTGTCTTAAAACAATAAACATAACTTAAAACAACGGCAAGCTGTTAACAAGTATTTCATGTAGTGGAGAAAGAAATAGGCTATCTAGGTTTTTGCAACGATGTATTCATCCGCCGAGCGATGTATTAGGCAACGGGGCAGGAGGGCGAATAACAACCTAAGCGGAGTGATTTGGTGAGGACTACACCCAAGCGCCTGTCTAAAAGCAGCGGCTTTTCTTCATTGCCTTCACCAGAAGAAAGCCGAGACGTGACGGAGTCGGAGGGTTTCTGCTTGTTTGCGAAACATCTGATAGAAACAGCTTCGACACTGCTTCTTCGTCGCTCAAGAGACACCTGTGACTTTACTTCTTTTTCATCTTCGAACTAATCCCACAAACATGTCCTGGCAATCCTACGTGGACAGCCTGATGGCCGATGGCGTCTGCCAGGACGCGGCAATTGTTGGCTACTCGGACGCCAAATACGTCTGGGCATCGTTTGCCGGCGGTACCTTTGCCGGCATAACGGTTAGTATGCTGTGCGTCTACAATCTACGGTGACACGGGAGGAAAAATAATGTTCTTCACGCCGGCGCGTTTGTCTGCATAGCCGGGCCTTGTTGAATGACTGTGTGGTACACATGGTATCCGGTGCTCACAATCAAGCTGCATTGGGACAAATCCTATCTTCGCTTTCTAACCCATCGCCTGTGGTTATTTTAGAATTACCGGTATTTTAACCACACTCCGCTGGTCTCAAGTTTTACATTTTTGTTTATAGAAATCCTCACCAGACCACCCGCAGACGGCCGAAGCCTGTGCCGCGAACTCTTAGCTAATTAGGCTAGCTAGCTGGCTAACGTTAGCTTAAAGTAGCCGTGTTTGCTGGTGATGCCGGTCCGATGCGATGAGCAGGTCGGACAAAGCAAGCCCCTCCCCAAACCAGAACGGGTTGGTCTTTTTTGTGTCGCTTTAAAGTAATGTCTTACTCATGCGACACAGTATACCTGTGGTATTGCCAGGCAGTACGAAGTATACATTGGTAAACAAACTAAAGCCTGTGGTTCGCTAAAACCGTGCCGGTCACTCCCGCTAGAGCATCACGGCGAGCTAACGCTAGCAGCGCGGAGTTAGCGGTGCTCACATGCGCCCTGTACGCCCTGGCGTGCTCTTTCTCGTTTCCACCCATTCGGCTCCTGTGAATCACACACTGCCGCTACCGCCCCTTATTTTCCAAGATGGCGGATACTCTTCTCATTCATTTTTTTCTTCTTCGTGGAAGTTAAATCGAGACATTTGGTCCGGGTTAGCATAGCAGCGGGCCACACGTGCAGGCTGTAGTTGGGTTTCAGTCGCTGCACCCGAAAGGACTGCAGCGAATCTAACGCCACTAATCAATCGTCTCGCACGCTTTCCCAGCCTCCATTTTGTCGATTAAATAAAGGAATAGTCTAATTAGAATATATTTGTGTAGGCGCTTACATTGAGTCACCGGGTGAACTTAATGAAGTACGTGTACTATTTCTTGGAGCACGTTCATTTTTGCAATGGCAACGCACGCTACACACCGGTGATGGCTGCTGCCTGGGAGTGTCTTTCCGGGTAATGGCTCGAATAATTAAATTGACATTCGTCTTTATGTGTGAAGGAATGAAGGCTGCTCTGCTGTCCTGTGTTCCTTTTTTTTAATTTCTCGATTATGTCCAGACATCTGGTAAACCAAATAGATTATAGTAGTGTAACGCGGTAAGTTATATAGGAAACTACTGTGCCGGTTTCCGGGATCTGAACCATTTGGGATAGAAGAGAATAGTGAATTCCCTCGCCGGGCCCTTCCCCGCTGCTAGCCGCCATGCTAACGTTGAAGCTAACGTTGATAGAAATCCTTTTGAATTTGTTTTTCCCGAAGGATTTCCTGTGTGCCATGACTGTGCAGTTCTCAACTTGAAGGGGCGACGCCTTTTCTGCAGATCGGTTCAAATAACAAACCGGTTTTGAAAACCACAATGCGGTCAAATATTTATGCACATGCAAGCCGAGTGGTTTAAAACAAGTGGAATATTTCTAGCACACATATACAGTATTCGATTTTTTCGCGTTCTTTTCTTGAGCAGCTGCAGTGAGCCCGCTATGATCTATTGGAGTCAGCTGTGCCTTTAAACCGACTACATGGTCGATCATCCGCAGCAAAGCCTTTCTCAGTACTTCCTACCAAGACCAGCATGCCACAGCTTGTAGAGAAACATTGTAGCAAGTTCACTTTTGCAATGCCATGGAATTGTACTAAAGATGGTTGACGACATGATGCTGATGCATTTGGGTAGTTCTAATTTGGAGAAGGCTTGTTTATTAAACGTATTCAACGGTCACGCCTGGACTCATCGTGGCCATTTACTGAGGCAGTCCCTGTCTGTTCAGGTGTCCTTAACCACAATCTAGTTAACTCTTGTATGGAAAATAGTTGTGATCATGTGGATGTTGGGAAAAGTATGAGATTTGCGCTTATTGACTAATCTATACTCCCACACCTTTTTTTGATTTGTAAATGTGAGTCATTTCACTGCATTAGAAGCACAGGACATTTTATGTATTTTGCTACAATGAATGAGTTCAAGGAAATCCTTGGACACCTAATGTCTTTCCTCAGATGGAGGGGAAACCATATTAATGTATTTATATACTTTAGAAAAGCATCCAGAATTCAGTCTGTACAATGGAAGTCTGCTGAATTACGTTATTTATTTTCCAAACTACATGTTTTATTAAACCGTTAACCGTTATTTAAGGTTGAAGTTTATTGGGTAATGAAGGCAAAAGGCTGACTAGGAGACTTTACCCATTAATCAACATTTTGCATTAGTTGTAACAGACTTGTGTTTTTCCACCCTCCCTAGCCTGAAGAAATCGACGTGTTAACAGGAAAGGACCGCATGGGATTCTTCACCACTGGGATAACCTTAGGCAATAAAAAGTGCTCCGTAATCAGAGACAGCATCTCCATTGAGAACGACTGGACAATGGACATCCGGACAAAGAGTCAAGGAGGCGAGCCAACGTACAACATTTCTCTAGGCAAAGCCACCAAAGGTGAGACCCACATTCCAGTCCGTCCCAGTTCAGTAGTGTGTAGTCTGCTTTGCCACTAGGTCAGCTACGTCTGCATGTGATAGTTATTGATTATGCCTTTCCTCAATATATGACAGCGGAGTCGAATGCATTTAAAATCCTAGAAGTTACCGTTGGATGTCATTTTATTAACTGCCGTGTTGCAGCTAAATCTGCAATGCTACTCAAAGGTAAGGGGCAGATTTGTATCAGACTCGTAGTAAAGGGAAATTCCATCTTAAATCTGACTGCACTATGCGATTAGTATTCCTAACAATCTATACTGCAGTTTAATATAATTTGGATGTTTGCATAAGGTAGTATCGACGTACCCTATTGGATCTCTTGTAGATTTTTCTACTGTTCAGCCTTATACGTGAAGATGTGTGTTTGTTGTAACGTTGACATTCTGGACACTTGTCCACCAGAGTAGTACAGCTCTCATGCGACGTGAACGCTGCATAGCTGAGATACTTTACATCAGAGGTCACAACTCACTCACATCCTGGTGGATTTGCTTTAAAATAGACCGTAAATCCTTTTATGTGAATTGCATTTTGATTGAGAACTTTGATTTAATTTAAATATTTGAATAACTCAAATGTGTACACTTCTTGTATAAAACAGATGGCCTTCAATGTTCCTAGATCTACAAATGGACATTTTACAGGCGGACATGCTTTAACTTGGCAACAATCACGTCCCAATTTCTTACCCATTCCTGTGATAAAAAGAGGTCTGGTTAAGTCCCCTCTTTGTAAGGGCTAGCCCGAGTATTCATGTTGCCCGAATGGGCCCCACTGCCCTGTCCTCATCGCTTTGCCGAGACGCCACTAAAACGTCAAGGTGAGCCTCCAGCTGGTTTCAATTCTCCACACTGGGACAAGATTCCCTAAAATCTGTCTTTACTGCACGAGTCTTTCCTGGTCTTTTCTCCACCCTCGAGTATAACTGTTCCCCTGCTCACACGCTTCCACTAGTCCTGGGAAAGAACTTTCTGGCCCTTCAGGGCCGTTCCATGTATTGAGGAGAGGTAGCACCAGCATGCTGCTGTATCTGCATGTGTGCCACGTTAGCATCCAGTAAGGCCTTTACTTTCCTAGTCTCTGCTGCTGGCACTGATCGGTTACAGGTGAGACTAACCCGAGTCTTAGTTCCACAAACAACAGGAGCTTGGATTGGTCAAACACAGCTAAGCTATATCTGGTAGCTTGTTTAACAAAATGGACAAGAAGCTGACTTGGCAACAATTTGGCTGAGTAAACTTAATTTACCGCTCAACCAGTGTGCATCCTGTGGCTGGCTGAGACTTGCTGTACAAAGAAATGGCGATAAATATGGTGCCGTTCCTCTGGCATTGCTATCTGCAGTGTTTTCTGTATTAAAAAATAAAAATAAAAAAAAAAGTCTAAAGGCATTCAAATTCAACAGTGAGATTACTGGTATTCTATCCGAATGTGGTCCTGCTCTAGTGTACTTTATACATTTAAGGACTGAATGTTCGTACAGTAGCGTTTTCAAGGAGTGAGTTATTCAGCTGCAGCACAAGTCAAATAAATTAAGTAATTTAAAACGTGAGTCCTGCGCCCGACAATGTTGGATTAGCTCCGATATGAAACCTTGCTTCATGTTGGTAGACGCTAGAATGACGCGCTGAGCCTCCGCTAGACTACTTGGTCACCGCAGGTGTGCAGCCCGATCAAAGAGCTTTGCATGCGTCCTTTACATGTGTGCTCCCTCTGTACTCCTGTCTCCCCAGTCGTGACGTGTCCTGTCTCGTTTCACCTGCAGCAGCAGCACACAGCGCCGCTGTGCTACCTGTGCCTTGTCCTGCTTCGTAGCGTCTTGTCCGCCTGCTGCTTTCGGCCCTGTGCCCTTCCCTCTTCACTTTTTGTGTGTGATCTCTGCACCTTCTCTAAATGTCCTTCTGTCTCTTTTCTTTCAGTCTTGGTCTTGGTAATGGGCAAAGAAGGGGTCCACGGAGGCGGATTGAATAAGAAGGCATATTCGATGGCAAAATACTTGAGGGATTCAGGGTTCTAGTTTATCTCTAGCTTATGTGGCGTAGTCAAGGGATGGTGGGGCAAGGGGTGGGGAACAACAACAAAAGTGAAAAACAACATGAAACAAGGGTCATGTTTACACCCAATCGGAGTTTCTAACAAAGCGCAATGTGTAGACTATGTAGCACCACATCTAGCAGAGTGGCAATAAAAACAAGTGTATTTTCCAGTGCGGCTGTCACATCACTGTTCATTTATTTTGTTTTTTCCTTTTTGTGTACTCCAGCATTGGTTGTTGTCATGGGGAAGGAAGGTATCCATGGAGGGCAGCTCAACAAGAAAGCATTTTCTATGGCTGAATACCTGAGGAAGTCCGGATACTAAAGCAGCCTGTACCAGCCACCTAACCGCTCACCCGTACCACCCTGTTGCATTTTACACTACTTCAGTCCTAGTTGGTAGTTACTTTTTTCCTTTTTTTTTTTTTTTTTCTTCCCTGCCTTCTCCCCCAATTTTCATCCAGTTCCTGTCTCCTTGGCACACTTGTGCGGTGTACTCCTAACCCCTTAAGCACTATAAGTTGATCCCTAGCAAAGGGCATGTTGCTAACCGGATGTCATGACAAATCTGTCCAGCTCAACAAGAAATCTGGCAAACAATAAAAGCTTTACTATCAATGAAGTAGACATTTCTTTTCTGTCATGGTGCCAGTTACTTAATCTCCCCCAAACCCAATCGTACACACTCCCTCCCCGAGCAGCCGACTAATTGAGCGGGAACCAAGCTAGTTATGTCCTGCTTAATTTCCACCCTGTGTGCAGGGGCTCGGGGGGGGGGGGGGGCTGCGTTCTGCAGTTTCCCCTCTTGCCCACCACTGCCCCCTACCCCACCCTTTCACACTCCCCTTTGCCAAAAAAAATGTTACGTCCAGCCCCTCTCCTAGTTTCCCTATTCTGTTCGCGCAAAGCAGTCGACACTACAAACATGGCCGGAGACTGCTCTTCAAACACTACACATCAACCAACCAACCAGTCCCTGAAGCCACCTCCTTTCAGATCCTCTGTCCTGAATGCATTTTAGAAGTGTGGGGGGGGGGCAGCTCAGTTGATCATGAGCCGGATTTGCAAGCATTGGTGTTGGCGATGCTGGTCTCCTCTCCATGGACATTCCACAGTACGCATGGCTCGGGCAATTAATACAGCTTTGTTTGCCAGCTCCTGTAATGTGTTTTTTATCATTTGTTTTTCAAATGCCACCATTTTCTGAGTATTTTTCAGCATATGAGCATATCCAATTGAGATTTTTTTTTTTTTCAAATCTTTCTTTCTTCCCCCCCCAAATAGGACAAAGTGTAGTCACAGCTCGGGTGTTTATAAGATTCTGCTAAATCATGTGAAAGATGACTGCTTACTTTTCTATGATGACGGGAACACTTGAGATGATGAAACTCACCATGGTTTAAAAAGATGACACTACAGGGGAGCTAAGGGTGGAAGGATGTGACAAATTGTCACTTTCTTGAGTTTAGAGGGACTGCACTTGTACAAACCCAAGCTGTGTTAAACTACAAAACTGTGGAATAAATTGCCTTTTACTCCAGTCAGCCGAGCTCTGGGCTATCACAGCGTTCAGTGCTGCTAACTAACGTCCAACTGACAAAGTAACCTTTTTAAAGTAGTGACACTCGCTGGGAGATGGGATTGGTTGGGACAAAGACGCTCATGGTTGTCTAGTTGAAGCTTCACTACAGAACCTGTGTATCCTGTGCCATAATGAGATCTGTTGTAAGAAGGATTTTTACCCACTAGTCATTTCATTGGCACTTTTTTTTTCTTCTTTTGCTTCAGCTCCACTGTTCTGGCCTTGTGGGATGAGTACTCATTAAAAAAAAAAGTTTCATGTTAATTTCTTTTTTTTTTTTTTTTCTTCACCACTTTTTTCTATTTGATGCATCTGACTTCAAATGCATAAAACCAAGAAATGCCATAAATTGATTTATCACCTTGTTTAATGACAGATCAAATAAATTTATTCCAACCAGATGTATGTTTACTGTCCATGTTATACTGACTTCCACGCATTTGTTCATATTTAGATTGGATGAGAGAATACACCAGTTGTAAATCTGCGTATTAAGCTGCTTAGCACAACATGTGAAAACCAGTATTTAGTTTGGGAGTCTGAGGAAATGGGACAAGTGAATTAGCCGACCAAACTGAAAAGTTCAGCCATTTGTTAATCCGGTCATTTTCACAAATTTGGGCTTTTTCTGACGTCAATTTTGCACTTGCTAATGAGTCATGCCAGATTTATGAACACGTTTAGAGCTGACAGTTGGTGTTAACTGGGAATTAAATGTTTACTGTTTTGATGGAATAGAGCCAATAAAGTAATTTTATTGAAGTAAATTATGGAACAGTTATACATGAGCAAAACACTAACAAGGCAACAGGTCTCATAAACCAAAGAAAAGCCAAGTAATGACAAGCAGTTTCCTTTTGTGCAAACCACTAATAAACTGGCGCAGAACAGACAAGCACCAGAGATGCACGAGGCTAGAAATAAATTGGCAAAATCATATCGCTGTGGCCTTAAATGTTAAATTGAATTTTTACAAGAATACTGCCTAGCAGTCCGAAAAGTGTCAGTGTAGCATGAACATGTATGTACAATAACTTTAGGATAAAGCTGACTTAGTGATTACACTTTAAATGAATGAGCGTGTCTGGCACGTCTGAACCAAGTACAGCATAAAAGCCTATTGTAGCTCCGTGTCTGCCTTACGCACGCTGACTTCCTGTCGCGCAGCTGTAATCATGTTTAAAAAATGATAATTGAACGGCGGTCCTGTAAGCGGTGCCAGAAAAACTATTTCGTGGCCCTCCAACCCAACGTCTCTGCACCCGCGTGGTTTCAGGGAGGGCAGGGTGATCGGGTCAAGCTCGGGGAAGGTCGTGCTCCAGGCCCTCGGGGCAGGGCTGCTGCATCTGCACCACCACGGTCTCCACGGTGACCTCCTCCTCCTCCTCGCTGCTGTCCAGCTCGTCGTCCTCGTAGTCGGAGGACTCCTGCTCGTGCTCCGAGCGCGAGGCTCCCGACATGGTGCCGAAGGAGTGGGCGCTGGTGGACGCCAGGGAGCGCAGGAGCGGGGTGCTCTCCGACACCTCCTCGTTCTCGTCCGGGCCGCTGCCCCCCTCCTCGGAGTCGGAGTCGCCCTGCGAGGGGACCACCTTCTGCTTGCACACCGGACACGTCTTCTTGGTTTTGGTCAGCCAGGGGTCCACGCACTTGCTGTGGTAGGCTGCGGAGGAAAGAGCAGAAAGATGGGCTGCATTCGTAATCTGAGAGAATCACGATTCAACAAGCCCCGAGGGGCTCTGGTTCACGTTTTATCCGCCATCGGCAATAAATGATACGTGTATGTGGACTAGGACGAACAAAGGGGTGCTGAGCGGAGGCGGCGTTGGCTTGCGTTGTGTGATCGCTTCAACTCACCATGAGAACACGGCAGCACACGCAGTTTGTCCCCTTCTTCGTATTCGTCCAGGCAAATGGCGCACACATCGTAGTTGTCCCCTGTGTCAGAAAGACGGCACGTGTTCATCTTCTGACCTTTTTGAACCGAACAATATCCTCAGTGGACGTCGACCGTGCTCATTTCTCAGCGGACGCGTCGCGGCGGCTTCTTAAAGCGGACGGCATTAGCGGTATTTCTATCCAATCCTATGTCAAAAGTAATGTTTATTCATCGTATGAGTGTGTTAATTGACTGAAATGTGAAGGTCATGTGAGTCTGTGACGTGTGAAGGCCATGAGGAACCAGCTGCTTCATGACTCTCATCTCCTCACATTCTTTAAAAACATAGTCCCCTTTTTCCAAATATGTCACTGCGGGAGGCGCATCTTTTCAAAGCGCTAAAAGCGGAGGAATTTATCAACCCCCCCGTCCCCTTGTTCGAATTCCTCCGCGTTCCTCTCTGCTTCCCTTCCTCCTCCCCGGGCCGCCGGCCTGCAGGGAGGGAGCGCGGCCGAGGGTCGGCATGTTTATGTAAGCTCTAAATGAGCATGTTTTCCCCGACTCGGCTCTCTGTGCCCGTGCCATGTGACCGTATAAGGATGGAGTCATATCAACCAGCCCCCCCCCCCCCTACCCAGCCCCCTTCCCTCCCTCCCTCTGAGCGTCAGCAACCTCAACTCATGGAAACGTTTTCAACTACTGCTCCCTCTTCCTCTTCACACTTTTTTTGTTATAGGTCAGTTTCTTCTCCCCCCATCAGCCCAATATCACTTTGTGTTTAATCAGCCAACAGCCTTTTTGTCTTATTGCACATGACTCTAAGCGAGCCTCCATCTTTCTGTACCTCTGCCGGGGTGAGGGAGAGCGACCGTTTGTTCGGGCTCGGGTCCAACGTGCTCTCAGGAAATGCTGAAGCGAGCTATTTTGGAGTGAGTGAGCAGAAAGGAAAAAAGAAATAAGGTCCGCTGGCGTTCTGAACTCAAACACCTTAGAGGACCGTTTTTTTTTACCACTCCCACTCGTAGTTGGAGGTCAAAATAACGTCGCCTGGCTTGGTTGGTGTCAAGTGAGAAAGAGTTCAAAGGGCCTTGCTGTGGACACCTCGTTTCCAGAAGCTCCTCTTAACGTCACGACTGGGACACTTTCATGAGTCTCACAGGTGAGCTACAAAGAGAGGAACATGCTGCCGAACCGCTGCTGCTGATCCCAACGGATGATTTTAGAGCGACGACGGGTATGGATGTGTGCTCGGCCACAGCGGCGGCGAGAAATGTGTGAAAAGAAAGTGGAAAAAAAAGGCCAATGTTGGTACAAGTCTTAATACGTCGTTTTTCCCCCCCGTGCGTGTCGAGTCGAGTCAGCTTTGAATGTGAACATTTCCCGACGCCCGGGAATCCCTCCACAATGTCCACATCGGGGCCAGTGGGACATCTTGATAAAGCTGTCCCACTGAGCCCAGAGAGAGGAGGAGGAGGAGGAGAGGGGGATGGAAGAACTCCCCCAAGAGAAGAAGACAATCGCCTCTGCACACTCCGTCCCTGGTTGAGCCGACCGGACGAGAGAGAACTGGCACGGAGGCCGGCGAGCGGGGAGACAGAGAGCGCTCCTCTGTAGCGACATCGACATGCCCCACACACGCAGACGGCTGAGACACTGCAGCTGCTCTGTTCAGTGTTTATGTGTGTGTGTGTGTGTGTGTGTGTGCGCGTTAAGCACCCCGCCTATGCTATAGACGCAGAGGGGTGGGGTGGTGTGACTCATCGCAGGGAGGGAGGGATCAGACTGGAGTTCAGGGGTCAGAGGGAGAGGCCGACCTCTGTCTAATGAAGGGCCCCCTTCGTCTTCCTCAGCCAAAATCTGCAATTCTAATCTGTGTGTGTGTTCACCATATCTGTCGCTAACGTCCGCCAGACGCCGGCTGTCGGCGAAAAACTCACCATGGAGTGATCAGACGCGCGGCTCTGCAATAAAAAAAAAAATTAAAAAAACGGAGCGCAAGAGAAGTTAATGGCGGAGCGGCGCTGCACATCGACAGCTGTGGCAGCTGGTATTACCTAATCCCCAACATTTGGACGGACCTCACGTCGCACGCCGCCACTCAGACTCGGCATTGTGCGGAGAATTACGCGGGTACCAGGGTTTTTTTTGCGAAGGGCATTGTGCGCCCGCCACACAACACTCCCTTTGTGTGGCTTTCAGCCAGTGGACTCCCATTTCCATACGCGCACGTCTGGCCACACGCTCAGCCGCCGCAGTGGCCATACATATACATGTGAAAGTGATGTCAAGGGAAAAAGTTAACGACGCCAGTCAATGAGAGCGTGATTGACAGAGTGTTTGCCGGTTTAGCTCCGCCCCTCTGAGCCCGTCTGCCAGAGAATGGTGGGCGGATACGCGCATCAGCACAAAGGCATCCGGCCAGCACAGCAGCAGCCGATCAGCTGGTTCAAATCTCCCCGAGGTGACCTCACATGCTCAGAAAAGACATCATCATCACACAGAGTTGCATGTATACACTCGCCTGCCCGCGAAACAAAACCAAACGGCATCCCATAAACAGCTGGGGGGGGGCACAAAGTCGGTCTCCCTCACTCTGCCTGCTGGTTTCTGATGGGAATGAAGTTGTGACGCATGGGGACGCATGGGGGTTCGGGTTTACCAACTGCTGCCAAATTGGCTTTTACTGACGAAAACGGGGGGGGGAGGAACAGGGAACAAGTGATGACATGACCTGAAAGGTTAGTGAGACCAGTCAGCGTGAACATGCTTGTAAGTATCCTTTAGCCGCTTGTTAGTAAACGCCCGAGACAGAAAAGACTTCTAATGGCTAAAAACGTTACCCACGTGACTCATTTCAGGTATCTAACACTCACTTACAGGTTTCAAGACTCATTCTCTATTTATCGTTTAAATGAAGACAAATAGCTGCACATAAGAAAAAGTGAATCGTCTTTGTATTTCAAGAGACAAGTCGGGAATTTTCTAGGCCACTTTGCTCAATTTGTAGGAGACATCGGCTGGTGGCCACTACCGGAACTGCACATTTTTTGTTTCCCGTCAAGATTCTGTTATTATATTCAATTCTAAATATGCTTGTAAGGGCTCACAAACAGAGGCAAGATACTCTGCACTTTGATAAACGCATAATGCATCTTCTCATGGATGCCGTGTTAATCTTGGACTTTGGCGTTTATGATGGCCTTTTATCAAAGATATTTTCAATAATTGATCAAATGTTTATTACCCAAAGAGCAAGGTGCTACTGCACCCTCCCTGCAGAAACCTCCGTGAAACCAATCAATCGTCCTCCTTCTCTATGCTTGTGTACTACTTCCTAGCTATGTGAAGTGTTGTTATTTATTAAACCCTTTCGATAAATACATGAACCATTATCCAGATGTTGAGGTCAAAAAGGAAGTTGTTTCTTTTATTAGCGGCACCTCCCCGACCTGGCAAGAACACTGGAACAACAAAAGCCAACAAAGGGCGTGTCCCAATGCTCGCAGTGCTCCGGAGTGCCGGGCTTAAGAGGTGATTAGGTAGAGATTTGGTGTCCCCTCCCTGTATTGCCCACGGCTCGGACTCAGCCGGCAGGAGCGCAGACGCAGCCCCGGAGGCCCTTTGCTGGACCTCACGACTCCCTGTGGCGGCTGAGGTCGGCTGTAGCGGTGCCTGGTGGAGCCCCTCCCCCCCTGGCCCCCCCAGAGTCAGAGAGAGCCTGAGGAACGCACAAACCACAGAGCCTGACGGGACAAAAAAAAAAAAGCTCTACAAGCAACGCACGCTGCCGGTGAGTTGCACGTGCCTCCGTCTCTGCCGAGGGCGGTGGAGGAGCAGCTGTCATAAACGGCCTCCATTAGCAGCTTTGCGAAGGGGGCCACTTAGCATGCACCGCCCGTAGTCTATAGAGCGCCTCCGCCGTCCCCCTGCAAAGCTGATTGTAGCCAGGGCTTTTCCAGTTTACAGAGAAAAATAGCTGCTGGAGGAAAAGCCGACACGAAACCCCTCTAAATACGCAAAACATACTTGACTATATCGCAAAGTGGATTTGCCTTGCAAATCACTGCAAGAGCACGTGACCTTGTACAGAGGCCGAAGCTCTAAAAAGGCTTCAGAAGTTTAAATTGGCACAAAGATATCGTGTTTTACTTCGTCTACAAACCAGCAGCACGAACTGTGCATCTGCTCACCGCGTCCGAGATCAAAACAGAAAATACACTCAACTGGCCAGGCCTCCGGCATGGAACTACATTCCAGACCATCGGTCATGTGTCCAGTCACAACAGAGAGGAGCTCTAATCTGCCACCGAGGGCTTTGTGGAAAAATCAAGTCCATATTAATCCGATTAGCTTCCAAGGGAGGAAGGATGTGTCGTAATGCATCGATGACACCTCTCCTCTGGGCTTAATCGTGTGATAAAGTACCACCTGGCAGAGGGGGATCCAGCATCTGTACGGACCCTGAGGTCAGAGTTCAGCTGCCTTACAGAGTGCATACTGTAAACGGCACGATGCGATCACAGGTACGGGGCCTCGGTACCTTTCTTGTACTTGTGGATGGGAAGTTTCTTGAGCTGATCCTTGCGCAGGCGGCTCCTCCGAGCCCTGTGACGATCCTGGACAAACTTAGTGATCTAGGAATCGGCGGAAGAAAGAAAGATGTTACAATGCTTTTGAGATCAGTACATTTAAAACAATAGAAAAGAAACACCCTGGTTGTTTTTGGTTTGGTCCAGGTACTGAGGCCAAAAAATTGTAAGTGTGATTTGTGTCACATTAGGGAAAGTGTGATGTTTTGAGCCCGGATGCCAGTTTGCTACCTGACAAAGGGCCAATATAAGAACTCTAAATGTTGTACTTTTCCTACTATAATAGAGTAGACATCTTTCGTGTTGCAACCACGCAAACACCAGCCATGTTCAATTATCCAATTTAAAATCATCGCTAGAAACACGTACTTCGGCCTTAAAGCAAAGATTCACCGACCATGAAAACAACGATGAGGATGAGGCAGATTCCCACAATGATGAGGAAGGGGATCAGGTAGTATTCCAGCGGCAGGCTGAAGTCTGGCATGAGGACCACATGTCCCCTGGGAAGACAAGCAGGGCCATTGGCAGGTGTTGGCAGGCAATGCAAAACACCGAACGAGGCCCAACACGCTGACAAAAAGACCAGGACCATGTTTGGTGTGTTTATTCCTCAGTGTTGGTAATAACCCGCAGTGTTTAGATGGTATCCGATGCGCACACACACAGCTGATTCGAAACTTGAGCGGCGCTGAGACTCTCTGGGCTCCTGCGACGGGCGGAGACGTTTCACGACCACGTCAGCGGTAGAGACGCGATCCGGCTCGTATGGGAGATCGGGGGCACAGAACGGACGCCTTGAAAAGCTGTCGTGAGCTTTGTGCTTGGACTTACCCTTTGTCAAACGCAAAGTCTTCCTTTAGAGAGTTGGCCGTTTGCTCGCTCACGAACACAGAGGGAATATCTATCTGCTTCATAATATCCACTAAAAAGAGAGAGGGGACAAAAAAAATACACCACATGACTGTGTGTTAATGCCGGAATCTAAACCACAGCTTCAATGATTAGTCATTGATCAGTCAATCATGATTTGGAAAATCGAAAGAGAATCATTTGGTAATTTATTCTATAAAGAAATACCCTAGACCTTGTGGTTGCAGCTTCTCAAACGGGAGTAAATAAGTGTTTTCTTTGTGACATTTAAAAACAAACTACCCACGCAAAAAACACTTGAAAATTGTCGTTGGTCTATTTGTAAAGTTCATGCGCTTCCAACGTAACTAATGGTGCAGCTCGTCTCCCGGCTTGTGAAAGTATGAACCCATATTGTGTTATTAAAGCGCGGTTTTGCCCCTCTGACTTTATGTGACGCCGACCAAAGACCTCTGGTGAGCCTCGGGTACGTCTTGAGACTTGAAATAAACTTCTCGCCATAAAACCGCCTGACTTTTTCCTCAAGCTCAGGGAACGGCGGCAATGTGCGATGCTGAATGCTTTAAGGGCCCCAGGGGAGAAAAAAAGAAAAGGAAGAGGTGGTGGCTACTTACGATCATTGGATCCCATGCTGATTAAGTCATCGGAGACCACATTGTGAACAATGGCGGCCTTGTATCCGGCTTTCTGAGCATGGAGGACCTGCGAGGAGACAAAAACATTTGCACGCTGATTACCAAGCGGATCCCGTCTGGTGCAAACACCTGGCGAGTATTAGTAGGCAAACCTCGGCGGAGGGAGGCGGTGTGCGAGAGAAGGCTCCGCAGGACATAATGCGACCAGACCCACATAACAAATGGCGGATCTTTGCTTCGGATTCGCAAGCAGCAAACGGAGGAGGCTCGAGTCGGACCGTTACTGAACCGAGAGGCCGGCAGAGATTCACACCGTGGATGGAAACCAGCTGTGTATGGAAGGGGAGAGCTGTCTCTTATTCAGCCTGCGGGCTTTTAGCCATGGCTCAAATTCACCAGTTTCACGCTGCAGGCCATCCCCAAACATTAGCTTTACAAGTGAACCACTTCCAGTTTAAGGACGATTAGTACAGCCGAGGCCAAAGCCGAGGCGCTCCGGCTTCACGGTAGCATTCAACAACATGTTTACGGGACAGTTTCCCAGGACGTGTTGGCAGGAGACAGCTCGCTCCTGCGGGGTAAACACGGACCGCTCGGGGAAGCGGTGACCGAAGAGCCAGGAAAGGTTCGTTTGCAGGAGGAAACAAGGGCACAAAGAAGGCCACGTGGCCCCGGGGAAGTGGCGGAGTGGGCGAAAGGTTGGGGGGGGTTATTCATTCATAGGAAGGTGCCACAAATGCAAAAAGTCAGCGCACTGATTTAGGGGAACTAGAAACCATTTCTTCCTTCCTGACTTCCTCTCAGCTGCTTCTTTCTTTCGTACTTGTTATAGAGGTCACATATTTGGCGAGCTCAATGCCAAGATGAACAAAACTACAATAAAAAAAAAAACAAGATGGGAAGCTGTTTAACTTATAGATGGATTTTCTAATACAAGCATTAAAAAAGACTGAAAAACAACCATCTCACAAATTATCTGTTGCAACAATATTGGTATTTCCATATTTTATTTTGAAGTAATTGTTGTTTGGATGCCATGTTGTTTTAGCACTTACTCTTATAATGAATACTGGCTGAGACAGTAATCACTTCTCCAGTTATGCACAGTGTGTCGACGTGTGTATATCGGTGTGTGTGTGTGTGTGTGTTATTGGCGTTTAAACTGTTGCATAAACATGCACCTTGTCCACTCTCATTAATCATAGAGGTCTTCCACAGACCTTATTAAAAAACCAAGCCTCTCCTCACTACTGCATTAAAACAGATGCTTCAGCTTTTAATGTAACACGTGTGCATGTCTGAGTGTGCGTCCCACACAGAAAGACCCCCATCACATCAGCATCCTGTAGAACTGTTGTTGAGGCGGATCACTCACAACAGAGGTGAAGGAGGAAAGAGGATGTGACAGTATGCTCCTGGGATAAATCATTACGTGTTCTCAAACAAAGACAGAACTTGCAACGTCAATGTTTGCGCTAAAATAAAGGGGGGGGGGGGGGGGGCGCATGAGATCATCACTGATATGTCACCCCAAAGTATTAAAAAGAAGGTTAAACAAAGGCAGCGCGATGCCGCAGTATCACAAACGATATCTTTATCAGCGAAATGTTTATTCTCACAGTGGAATGTCTAATTCTAAACTACATACTATTCTTCGATTTGCTGAAAGACATGCAAACTTGTTTCTGATGCCCATGAACGGCCTACAAGACCTAATCAGATCGGACCTGGGCTCCTCAGAATCAAAGAGCAACAGCGTCTTTTCAGAGCTCTACATTCTACAAAATGGAGCAAATTATTTCAGAATTATTCACCAGTAGTATTTTTTTTTTTAAAGTAAAAGAACCGGTGATTATCTTTCCTTAAACCGCTGCCACCTGAGGCCCACGGAAGAAATGCTGATATTAATTATTACTCAGAGCGCGTGTGACCCTCCAATGTGAAATTAACACCTGACCCAAATCTAGGCAATGAGGGAGAGAGACCATGTGAGTAACTCCTAACAGGTAAGGCTAATCGGACTGTGAAAGAAATGCAAAGTCCTTTGCTGTCAAACTACAGGAAGAGGTCCCTGACACTGACCTGCGTGCAGTGTGTTGGCCCTGCAGCCTGGCCAGGCCTCTCTATGCCGCCATTGTACTCTGTTGTGGAGCAGCGAAATCCATTTAGACGTGTGAGGGGTGAAAACTGTGTGTGTGTGTGTTGTGGCCTGCGTGCATGCATACACAGAGCGTCCCTGTCTTCTATCTGTTCACTGTCATTGTAATTTTACGCGCAGGCATACGCGAAGCAGCGCGTACGGCAGCCGCAGCATTGTGTTCCCATGTGTTTTCTTGTTTCTCGTGAGGGCGTATTGTGCGTATCAACGGCTACTGTGTGCGTCCTGAGGCAGATTCTCTGAATAAGTGAGTTTTTTTTGTAAGGGCAGCCAGCTCGGTGTGGGAGGGGCCAAAAAAGCATCAACGCGGGTTCGCAGACGGCAGCAAGTGTCTGTGGCTTCATTTAAAATGATTTGTAGCCTGTTGCTGTGTTGCATTCATCTCATGGACTAAATCAATATTGAGTCAAGTTATACCGTGACATCATCATATTCCATTCAGCTACGCTCGCTTCCCTCTCTCGTCTCTTGTTGTCTCCAGTATCCCGACGTGACGCGGGCCGATTGGGCTTGGTCATTTAATTGTTCTACCGTCCTGCTTTCAGAGTGGTGCGTGTCACGCCTTGGGAAGGGGGAAGGGGGGTGGAATGTGCATGTGGTGTGGTCAGCATATTACGCCGTGACGTGTTGAAAAGAAAGAAAACAAACGGCGGAGGCCTGTTCTCACCGGCCGATTAGCGAAACGTCTTTTCAGGGAGATCTAACAGTAAAACTGCTGGGCTGAAGGTTGTCTGGATGCCTGTCTGCCTGGGATCTGCAGAGGAATTTAACCTCTGCTGCTGGTTCACCCTTGGTGAAGATAAGGACATTCAAAGCATTCCTCTGACCCAAGGAGAGAGGGAGGAACAGAAAACGGACCATGAGAGCCATGGAAAGGGAATACAAGACGTGGAAAAAAAGATCACTAGAATCAAAGTGTGTGGCTTTACAAGCCGGCATTGAGACAATGCATCATCACCTCCTTGGGTCATCAGCAGACACTCGTGCTGTGAGCAAAACATCCACGTCAGTTAAACGGCCTTCGTCAAACCACTTAATTGATATAATCCCTCTGCACACACCCAATTACTACTATGCTACCGTTGTAAGAGAATGATTGCATATCTAAATTAAAAAAATATGAATTTTCGTTTTAGCCAAAACGCTTTATATTTAACTAAAGTTAATTAAGTGTCGTACTTCCGGGTCATTTTTCCGTCCACGTATATTGTATGTACAGCGGCGGCGGAAAAAAATTAGCGAGCCGAGTGCCGCTCTCAAGAACATCCACTTCTCCGCGTCATGTGACGCCATGTGTCCCCGTCATGTGACACCATGTGTCCTCGTCATGTGACACCATGTCTCAGCTGCGGGAACTTCCAGCTCCGCTCTGTTCCAAACCCTGCGTAGTTTCTCCTTCTCTTTCGTTATAGGTTTTATTCATGATGTTGATGATGTGAATCTTGACTTAACCGGCTGTTGTTTTCGGAACCTCTGTGAGTGAATTTGTCAGCCCCAATTGGCATAAAAATAAAATGAATGTGGATTTTGATTTTGATCTCATTTAGCTGGATAACAATAACGCAATTAATACAGCTTCATTACTTCATCACCCATCTAAAAAATGCCTGAAAATGTCCTGTCACAGGTTTTCTTTTTTGTGAGGGTGCTTTACAGCAGTTGGTCACTAATCTTATATTTTTCAAATACTGCTGTTACTTCATTGGTTCATTGGCCCCCAAATGGCAGGGCACCTTCCCAATAAAACACAATTGAAAACCCCCAAACTGGAAAACTATTTACCAAAGCAGTGTGTTGCTGCCCGGTGGAGATGCTCAACACAACACTCAGCCTGTGTTGAAGCTGCGTTGGGCACACAGAGTTCTTACAGAGTTTGGGTCCACGTTGGCGACAAGCTGGCAGCTTTTGGGGGTCTTTGTGTCGAGCGGCTCCCTGTGAATGTGTGGGCCTGAACCAATGTGAACGAAGGTGAGAAAGAACCAAACAATCCACAACACGGGAGAAAGAAAGGAAGCCATTTTTTCCCATTTTTATGCAACAATTGACATTTCTGCTTATGCACTAGTACGTGTGCACGCTGGTCACAGCTGACTAGAGGTGTGTCGCCTGGAGGCACCTGACTCACCGGGGGGGGTTAATCATTTGAATCACAAAAGGGCTGCTCGAATGAGTACATTTTGTTCATCATGAAACAGTCTTATGAATAGCTTATAATAATGAGGGTTGTTTACACCATTGTAACAGAAGATGGGATAAACTGAGTGTGCTCTTAGCGTCAGTGATCAGAAAAAACACTTTTTTCATTTTTTCCTTCTCCTTCCTCTAGCTCGTCTGTCTGCTCCCTTCGCTTTGCAGCAGCGCTCCGGCAGCGGGGCCGACCTGCATGCAGCCTGTTGCAGTGCCTGGTCTGCATTTGCATAAAGCACATCGAGCGAAGCTTTGTGTAAATGAGTCCGAGCCGCACAGCGCGCCTCCCTCGCACATCACGGTCATGTCATCAAGTTCATCGCGAGTGTTCACCAACCGTCCCCGTTTTTAGGGAAAAGAGTTATAATCTTTAATTATTCAATAACTATATGTTTCTACTATGCTCTTAACTTCTCTGTGTGCGGTTTGTTTGACATTCTGCTAAACTACTGCTCGTTTTCTATCAAAACCTGGTTGGTTGCTCCTGGTTCATCCTTTTTTTCTTTCTTCCTCTCCACCTAAAACCCCGTAACGCTGCAGAATGAACCACACGGGTCTCCGGGGCAGAAAATTACAATAGATTCTGAACGCTTGATTTGCATTGAAAGAAAGACTGTTTGGAGGTCTGTAAATCTACACCTCCATTGGTTCCAATTTCCCTAAACTGTATCAGATGCAGCTCCTCTGTGGTTTGAACAGCAGCTCCCAATCAGGTCCTCATT